TTAATTTTTAAAATTTTTTGAGATTTTGTAATTTCATACAACAGTTCTTAACCAAATTTAGACCTCCTCCCTATCCATGGTCCCCATCCCCCCTATCAGACCTCATGTATTGTGCCATACATGTTAAGTTGTATCTCAAGCGTTTGTACCCAGATTTTCTTCGGTGTAAATTTGTTTACTGGCATCTAGTCAGTCCATCTAGAGTATGTAAGGCATACTCTTCCCTCATCCAGCATCAGTCTCCAATAGTTCTCAGTCTAGGGCCAGCCCACCTCCATTTCTCTCCTCTCCTCTGGGCCCTTGTTTAATTGAGTTGGCATGGGTCCTGTGCTCACTGCCACCATTACCACAGTTTACGTGTGCAAGCTTCCAGTGGCCTGAAAGTCTGTGCTTCCCCGTGTTTATGAACCAGCCCTGGCTCTCAAAATCTTTATGTCCCCTCTTCCACAATGGTCCCTTAGCCATGGGTTGGGGAGGTTCAATACAGGAGTCCTACCCAAGGATATGCATTGTGCAGTCTCTTGCTGACACTTGGCCAGCTGTGGCCTTCTGTGTGCATCACACTCTGTTGTATAAGGAAGCATTACTGGTAAGAGTTGAGGGATGCATCCATTTTCTCTCTACCTCTTGTTCCGTTATGGTTCCATGAGCTTTAGTTGTATCAAGAGATTTTTTTTTTTTTTTTTTTTTGGTATTTTTGAGACAGGGTCTCCCTGTAGCCCCAGCTGTCCTAGAACTCACTACGTAGACCAGGCTGGCCTCGAACTCACAGAGATCCACCTGCCTCTGCCTCCCGAGTGCTGGGATTAAAGGTGTGCACCACCATGCCCAGCCAAGAGACTTTTTAAAGAGCCAGGTATAGGTGATAGATGCCTGCTATCCCAGTGCTTGGGAGGGAGCCAAGAGGATCAGGAGTTCAAGACCAAGTTCAGCTCCATAGTGAGTTCAAGACCAGTCTGGGCTATATAAAACCTTGTCTCAAAAACAAAACAGAAAGTCTTTTGATTATCTTCTTGTATAAGTTGGTAATTAAAATTTTTTTTATTTTATTATTTTACATATGTGTATATGTGTGTCTGTGTCTGTATGAGTATAGATATTCATGTGCAGGTTTCTGGGAGACTAGAAGAGGCATTGGAACCTTTGGAGCTGGAGAGGTACAGGGGTTTGTGAGCTACCAAACATGGGTGATGAGAATCAAACTCTGGTCCTCATAGAGCAGCAAGCTCACTTAATTGCTAAGCCATCTCTCCAGTCCCTAAAATTTGTATTATCATCTTTGGGTTTTGTTGGAGATGGGGTTTCCCTGTAGCCCCAGTTGACCTGGAACTCACTATGTAGATCAGGCTGGCCTCAAACTCACAGAGATCTACCTGTCTTTGCTGCCCAGGTACTAGGATTAAAGGTATGCCATCATGCCTGGTATAACATGGGTTGTTTTGGGTTTTTTTTGTTTTTGTTTTAAAAAATTTTATTATTTTTATTTTATATGTATGTGTGTATTGCCTGCATGTAGGTAAGTGCACCTGTGTTGTACAATGCCCGCAGAGGAGAGAAGAGGCTGTTGGATCCTCTGGGACTGGAGTAACAGACAGTTGTTAGCTGCCATGTGGGTGCTGGGATTCGAACCCGGGTCTTCTGCAAGAACATTCAGTGTTCTTAACCTCTGAGCCATCTCTCCAGCCCCTGTTCTTTCTTTTTTTAAGGTATTTGCATTACACGCAGAGATCATTTTTTTCTTCCTCTCCTTTTCTTTCTACTCAAATTTAAGGTCTCTTAGGGATGGTGTGGTCAAGAAACCTTGTACTCCAAAGGCACTGCCCAGCAAAAAGTCTTCTGCCTTCCCTGGGATCCAGAGGGCATTACCTAGAAGCAGTCATTCAGTGCACTATCAATCCTCACCGACTTTGACCCCACGCCGTATAAGAGATCTAGCGTCACAGAGTTTGACCAAACACCGCATAAGAGAATTGCGCATCAGGTGAGCTTATGAGCTGTCACCTGCCTGTGGAGACTTCTCCTTTGTTCTTCCTTCTTGGCTAAAAATAAGGAATAATTCTTATTTTCCTATGTCAGTTGAAGTATTTATTGGTCACTCTTCTTAGTGGAATACTCAGATAAAACATGGTGGCGCACGCCTTTAATCCCAGCACTCGGGAGGCAGAGGCAGGCAGATCTCTGTGAGTTCGAGGCCAGCCTGGTCTACATAGTGAGTTCCAGGACAGCTGGGGCTACAGGGAGACCCTTTCTCAAAAAGACAAAAAAAAAAAAAGGACATTTAGGACTGGGTGTGGTAGTGCACACCTTTAATCCCAGCACTCAGGAAGCAGAGGCAAGCAGATCTCTGTGAGTTTGATGCCACCCTTGTCTCTGTAGCCAGTTCCAGGCCAGCCAGGGCTACACAGTGAGACCCTGTCTAAAAAAGAGTAGAGATTTAGGAATCTACAGATATTGTCTGGATCATTGACAGTTTTCTTTTATGATCTTTAGTTATGACTCCACACACTTATCTGAGTCCTGAAGGTTGATGTAAGTCCAAGCCAGACAAAGGGTGGGAGGCAGAGGGTTCCAAACTGAGCCCGGAGATTGACAGGAGGAATGAATATATGTGTGTACCAGACACAGTGCTGGGGTCCGAGGATTATATCACATGGTCCCTGCTCTTAGACTCACAGTAAAGAGGGAACAATAAGCTTTTATTCTTTATTTTTATTTTTAGAGACAGGCTTCCTGTTAGCCCCAGTTGGCCTGGAACTTGCTATGTAGACCATGTTGGCCTTAAACTGCCTGCCTGCCTCTGCCTTCTGAGTGCTGAGATCAAAGGCCTGTGCTACCATGTCCCAGTCGGTGGTGGAACAACAGATTTTTTTTTTTTAGAGATAATCTTCAGTTATGCCATCTTGTGGAGAGTTCTGCTGCTGCTGGCTCTAAGCTCCCACAGGTTGGCTCCACTCCAGATCCCTACATTTAAACCATTCAGAGAAATAGAAGGTTTGGGGTACTCAACTTATTGGACCTTTGTGACTTACAGACTGTGAGTTTAATTACAACAGCACCTTTTTTAAAAAAAAATCTTATTTATTATTTTTATTTTATGTGTATGTGTGTATTGCCTGTGTGTAGGTAAGTGCACCCATGGTTGTGCAATGCCCATGGAGGACAAAAGAGACTGTCAGATCCCCTGGAACTAGAATTACAGACAGTTGTTAGCTGCCATGTGGGTGCTGGGATTCGAACCCGGGTCTTCTGCAAGAACAGTCAGTGTTCTTAACTGCTCCACTATCTTTCCAGCCCCCAACAATACCTTTCTTTTAAAGAAACAATTGTAGGGCTGGAGAGATGGCTCAGTGGTTAAGAGCATTGACTGCTCTTGCAGAGGACCCGGGTTTGATTCCTAGCACCCACATGGCAACTACAAACTATCCTTAACTCCAGTTCCAGGGGAATCCGACGCCCTCTTCTGACCTCCGCAGCATTGCACGATACAGGTGCACTCACATACATGCAGGTAATACATTAATACACATAAAATAAAAATAAAATACTGAAAAAAAAAAAAAAAGAAACAATTGTACAGTGACTGGGGTTGTAACACGGTAGGACACCTGCTTAGAATGTATGAGACCCTGGGTACAATCCGTAGTACTAAGAATTAAAAATTTATGCACATACACACAAATGACTCTATTGTAGAAGTTTGATAAAAGCCAAACTTTCCTTACTCATACATTTTTTTTTACTGGACTTGTAAAATATAAGGTGTGACCATAAAAACAAAAAGAAAATAATTTTTTAAAAATATTTTTTAATTTTTATTTCTTTATTTTTTTGTCTTTTTGAGACAGGGAGACCCTGTCTCAAAAAGACCAAAAAAAATAAAGAAATAAAAATCTGTTTGAGGGTATGGAGAGATGGCTAAGTTGTTAAGAGCACTGGCTGCTCTTGCAGAGGACCTGGTTTGTGTTCCCAGCACCTACATGATGACTACCATTATCTGTATCTCCAATTCCAGGGGATCCAATGCCTTCTTCTGGCCTCTGTAAGCATTGCACACATGTGGTACACTTACATACATGCACTTCTATGCATACAGGCAAAACACATTCATAAACATTTAAAAAAAAAATCTGTTTGAGCCAGAGTGGTGGCACACTCCTTTAATCCAGACCTCTAGAGGCAGAGGCAGGAGAATGGTTTATATAGAGAGTTCCAGGCCAGCCAGGGATACACAGTGAGACTCTATCAAACAAAACAAAAAATAAAAAAAAAAATCTCTTTGACTTTAGCTTTATAAATATGTCCTCTCTTATAGTCTGTTTGATGCAAAATTAACTATAAAATTACTTTTTTTTTGAGACATGGTCTCACTATGTATCCCCCTGGCTGGGGTCTCTCTACTTGATACCTTAAGGTTACCTCTAGGTTACGTTAAGGTTATCTCTCTTTCCCAGAAAACTTTCTATTAGCCAGATGGAGTTTTAAAGTATGTATACCCTTTCTTTTCTTTCAGATGTGTAGCCAGAAAGTTCTTGTACTTGTGGATCCGAATAACTTTTGGAAGAGTAATTCCCTCCAGAGCCAGGTAGTATTAGCTAAGAGCAGGGAATTGCTGCTGAGTACGTTCTGTTTAAGATTTGCTTTTTATGATTACTATTTTATAATTATGTACATATGTGTGAGTCTGTGCACATGAGTTCAGGTGCCCACAGAGTTTAGAAGAGAGATTCAGGCGATTTGGAACTAGAGTTACAAGAGGTTGTGAACTGCCTGACGTGGTTGTTGGGACCCAACCTTGGGTCCTCTGCAAGAGCAGTAACTACTCTCAACCATTGCTGAGCCTCTCCAGCCCTGAGGTCCTGTTTCAGAGTAAGCCTCTTTAAGACCATTATTGTGACAAATGTGTTACATTCTTCGACATCTCTTCCCAGCCTCATCCAGGCAAGAACAACACCCAATCCAAATATTTACTAGAACGAGAATTTTGTGCATATTAGTTAACTGGATGGGAGTGAGAGAGAATGATACTTAAACTATAGCAGCCAAGAGGTTTCTGGGAAAAAAGGCGTTGATCAGGAAAAGTGTATGAACTCATCCAGGGGATCAGTGAGCTTGACAGATTGCTTTCATCTAAGGCAGAACCTTGAGAAAAGTTTGCATTGACCAAGGCAGTGAAATTTTAGCAAGGTGCAAACCCCCATGCCATATCCTATACTTGATATGTATATATAGCACATACTTACTGTATGGATTCCTATATGTATATGTAGCACACACTTACTGTATGGATCCCTATTAATACTTTATGATTTGTACAGACAGCCACCATCCACTGCTATGGGTTTTGTTGAACTGCTGGGAGTGAGATGTGAGAGGGAGCTGCAAGAGTGAGATGTGCTGAGTGGGAGCAGTAGGGATGGGTTTCAGAGGAAGGTGCGGCAGCCCTTTCAGCTGTCAGCATTCCTTAGAAACTGAAATACCATCCTCTCTTTTCCCCTTCTCTTCCTGTGTTCCTGTTTCATGTTTCTGACATATAATACTGCTTGACTCAGGGTCTGGTAAGCAAACTTACCTTGGCTTTGTGTGTTTTTTTTTGGTCTTTTTGAAACAGTGTTATGGAGTTTGAGGCTGCCAGAAAAGACCACCAGACCCAATTCAGATTTTAATTAGCCAGATTTATTGCTGCAACAAGACTGATAGTCTCCAGAGGGACTGCATAAGGGACTGCAGTGAAGCTGTGGGGAGGGAGGATCTTTTTTAAAGGCAGAAACCACAAGCAGTTGCAAGGACAGTGGGGGTCACATTGACCCTTACATGCAGCAATAAGCAAGTTTACAGAAGCCAAAACAAGCAGTTGTTAGTCATATTCTTAACCTTGACAGTAAGGGGCCTTCTGATTATTATTATTTCAGCATATTACCAAGAAAGACAGGATATTGTTTAGGTTATTTTCGCTTGGGTGGGCAAGAAGCATGGCTGCAATGTCTGGGTGGCAATATTCCTTTCTGTGGTCAGCTATTTTCTTTTGTTTAATTATTTTTTGTTTTTTTGTCTCTTTGAGACAGAGTCTCCTTGTAGCCCCAACTGACCTAGAACTTGCTATGTAGACCAGGCTGGCTTCAAACTCACAAAGATCTGCCTGCCTCTGCCTCCCAAGTGCTGGGACTAAAGGCATGCACCCCCACACCTGGCTAAGGTCAGCTATTTCTACAGGAAAACAAATTTCTCTGGGGAGGAACTTACTGGAACTAAATTCAGACCTTGAGCTGGCTACTTCTCTGATTTTTAAAGTCTAAGGTGGCCACTTTGTATAAAATGGAGTTGCTCTAGTCATTACAGTAAGATCTCCCTATAGTAATAATTTTTGATTCATTCATAGAACTTAAAGATTTTAATATTGAACTTTTTGTTCCGAGATACTTTTTTTTTTTTTTTTTTTTTTTTTTTTGCCTTTTTGAGACCTGAAGACTCAGCTGGCCTGAAACTCACTATGTAGACCAGGCTGTCCTTGAACTCCAGAGATCTGCCTGCTTCTTCCTCCCAAGTGCTGGGATTAAAGGCAAATACCACAACACCTGGCCCTGGTAAAATCTTTAGTATAATTTTTTGCCTCTTTTCTAGTTTATGTAGTTCTAAACTTGTGATCTTAAACATCAATATGCCTGTTTTCACTGAGAAGGTAACAACAGTGTAAAACTGGTTAGGCAGGGATGGTTGCTTAGCCCCCGCCCTGCTGTCTACCTTTCTGATGTTTTCTCATTGCCCTAGGTTATACTGTGATCAGAGAATACTTCAGAAGGTCTTTGGAGAATGGAGGGAAGAATGGTGGATTTCTCAGAAAGAATGGAAACTCTGCATTCGAGCTGACTGTCACTACAGGTTGGATTTGGTGTCTCAGAACTTTATTTACACTTTTTCAAATACAGATTTTATACCTTATCAAATAGTTACTTGATGTCTTGTTATAAAAGGAGCAAGGTTTTGAGGGCTGGAGAGATGGCTCAGCGGTTAAGAGCACTGGTTGTTCTTGCAGAAGACCTGGGTTCGAATCCCAGCACCCACATGGCAGCTAACAACTATCTGTAATTCTAGTTCCAGGGGATCTGACAGTCTCTTTTGTCCTCCGTGGGCATTGCACAACACAGGTGCACTTACCTACATGCAGGCAATACATGCATACACATAAAATAAAAACAAATAAAATTTTTTTAAAAATGTTTTTAAAAAGAAGGAGCAAGGTTTTAGATTGCTCTCTTGTTTTCTTCATATCTTTTTTAGAATTGGCAAATTCTACACCAGGCAGGCAGGCAGGCAGGCAGGCATGCATGCACAGCCAGGGCCCAGGCAGACCCACATAAGTACTTCTGATTCAATTAACAGTGTTAGCACCTGGCATGGTGGTGCATACCTTTAGCCCCAGCACTTGGGAGGCAGAGGCAGGCGGATCTCTGTGAGTTCAAGGCCAGCTGAGGCTACAGGGAGACCCTGTTTTAAAAAGACCCCCTCAAAAAAAAAATCAGATAACAGTATTGACTGTGCTGAGCACTTGAGTGAGATTTTCTCGGTTATTGTATATAATTTCTAATTCTGAGAGTTTTTTTAAAACATTTTTATTGATTCTTTGAGAATTTCATATAATATGTTTGTAATTCTGAGAGTTTTTAAAAATAATTAGTTATTCTAGCATATTAATTATGATCAATGTGCTATATTGGACATTAGGAAAATAGGCTCGGTTGGGGGAGCTGTGTGGGAAAGCAAGTGGTTGGCATGTGTAAGGCCCTGGGCCTGGGTTTAATCCCTAGCATGAAAAAAAAACAAAGAAACAAAAAAAACCTTAATCTGGGGCTGGAGAGATGGCTCAGCAGTTAAGAACACTGATTGTTGTTGCAGAAGACCCAGGTTCGAATCCCAGCACCCACATGACAGCTAACAATTGTCCGTAGCTCCAGTTCCAGGGGATCCGACAGCCTCTTCTGTCCTCCGTGGACATTGCACGACACAGGTGCACTTACCTACATGCAGGCAGCACACACATACACATAAAATAAAAATAATAAATAAAATGTTAAAAAAAACCCTTAATTCTTGACATTCATGTTCCAAGGAATAAATGTAGGAAAAAGTAAAAATTACATCAAATATACATTTTCCAGGCCAGTGAGATGGCTCAGCAGATAAACGCAACTGCCAAACCATATGACTTGAATTTCAATTTCTATGCCCCACATGGTGGAAGGAGAGAACCAACTGTTTAAAGTTGTCTTCTGAGCCAGGCGTTGTGGTGCAGCCTGTAGTCCCAGTACTTGGGAGGCAGAGGCAGGCGGATCTCTGTGAGTTCAAGGCCAGCCTGGTCCACATAGTGAGTTCCAGAACAGCTGGGGCTACAGGGAGACCCTGTCTCAAAAAGGCAAAAAAAAAAAAAAGTTGTCTTTTGATCACCACACCTGCTCTGTGGCATATGCCACACACATAATAAATAAACATAATAAAACAAATACACATTTTTAGACTTAATTTAAAAAATTTTTCATTTGTGTGTGTGTGTGTGTGTGTGTGTTTATCTGTGTATGTGTATCTGTGTGAATATATACCATGTGTGTGGCTGCCCACATAGGCCAGAAGAGAGCATCAAATGCCCTTGAGCTGGAGTTACAGGCTGCTGTGTGTCTCCTGACATGGGTGTTGGAAACCAAACTCAGGTCCTGTGAAAGAACATGATGCACTCTTTTTTTTTTGTTTTTGTTTTTTTAATTTGTTTTGTTTTGTTTTATGTGTATGCATGTATTGCCTGCATGTAGGTAAGTGCACCTGTGTCGTGCAGTGCCCGTGGAGGTCAGAAGAGGCTGTCGGATCCCCTGGGACTGAAGTTACGGACAGTTGTTAGCTGCCCTGTGGGTGCTGGGATTCAAACCCAGGTCTTCTGCAAGAATGTTCTTAACCACTGAGCCATCTCTCCAGCCCCTGCATGAAGCACTCTTAACTGCTGAGCCATTTCTCCAACAGGATACTCACTTTTATAGTCTCTGAGGTGCCAACAGGGCTTGCTTATGTGAGGAGCTTCTATGTTAAGTGTACAGTATAGCGACAAGAACAGAAAAAAACCTAAGTTACTTGCTAGTTCAATACTGAAACAATATATCTAAACTTAAGTTACTTGCCAGTTCAATACTGACACAATATGTCTAATATGTCTCGTGTTACTTTGGAAATGCAAGTGGGAAAGAGTCCTCTACTGGGGAGAGGGAAACCTATACAGGGAAGGCAGCATCTATTAAGTTAGTTTTTAGTCTTTTTGAGATAGGGTCTCCCTGTAGCCCAGCTGGCCTGGAACTCACAGAGATCCACCAGCCTCTGCCACCCTAGTGCTGGGATTAATTAGTTTTTTTGTTCTTTTTCTTTTGGTCTTTTTGAAGCAGGGTCTCCCTGTAGCCCCAGCTGTCCTGGAACTCACTATGTAGACCAGGCTGGCTTTGAACTCACAGAGATCCGCCTGCCTCTGCCGGCGTGCGCCACCACACCCGGTCCTAATTAGTTTTTAAATGGTTTATCAAGAATCAGAACAGTCCATCACTTACCACAAGATTTCCTTGTGCTAATCCTAGGGAGCATCCTCCTTCCACACATACCCCCTGCTGCCTACTGCTCAGTCTCTGTCAGCTCCAGTTTTTCCCCTCCTAGAATGTCTAGAATTTTCTGAAGTGTAGAACAGACTGGGTTACTTTGTTGTTTTATCTTGAAGAAATACCACTGGCATTTTGGCCCCCCCCCCCCCAGATACTACTTGTACAGCCTGATGTTCCAGAACTGGAAGACCTTCGTGCATCAGCGGCGGGAGATGAGGAGCAAGTTCCATAGAGCCGAGGATCATGGTGAGAACAGAAGGGTATATTCAGAGATGCCCAGAAGAACGCTGCTAGGACCTCTGAAGAGAACACTCTCTGTGAGATAGTCATGTAGTAAAGGGGAAGACAGGCTTGCTTCTCTTTTTTTTCCAGAATGTATAATCTCTGAGTTGGGTCTCCTGTCTAATAGGATCCTGGTGGTTTTCTCCATACGGCATAGTTTGGACACTTGAAGCTTATTTGGCCAGAATTTGTGTGAACCCGTTCCCAGCCTGCTGCTGCCATGTTCAGGCTGTGCTCCCCATGGCACTGGCTGCTGTCCAGCTTCCCTGTTAGCCCCATGCCCAGTTCTGACCTGCTTTGCCCAGCTTGCTACTTGTTGACCCCTGTGGCCAGTTTAGCTGTGGTCATTGTCTTGTCTCTCCACAAGTTGAGTCCAGAAATCCCCAAGGGGAGTCCATGTGAAAAGACTCCAAGTTTCAGAATGACCACAGAGCCCATGTCCACAGCGGCCCCAGAGCCATTCCCTAGCTATACCCCACAGCACCTCGAACTCAGCTGCAAATTGTCAGCTCCCCACAGGGTACCTGTGCTTTGTCCAGGTTCAATTCCCAGCACCCACGTCCTTAACGCCAGTTCTCATTTGAACCTGAACCTCCACAATTCAACTAGACTGGCTGGTCAGGAGGCCACAGAATCTGCAACCTGCAGCGCTAGTATAGGCACACACTGACCACACAGCTTTTTATGTGGATTCTAAGAATCAAAGTCAAGTCCTCATATTTGTGCATCAAGCAGTTTACTGACTGAGCTATCTCCCAAGCCCCTGTTTTGTTTTTTTATTTTGACATAGGATCTTGGTAAGTTACCCAGGCTGGCCCCAAACTTATGATCCTCCTGCCTGAGCTTCCTGATTGAGTTGGAATTATTTCTTCCTAAAATGTTTATAAAATCTCTACTAAAATCCTTAGTGCCTGGAGTTGTCTTTGTTGGAGAGTTTTAAGTTTTGAATTCAGGCTTTAACAGATGTAAGATTTTTAGACTATTTATTCCTTCTTAAGCAAGCTTTCAAGGAATCGATCCATTTCAAATATGGTCTCAGATTTATGGGCATGTAGTATAACATTATTATCATTTTATGTTATATATAATCTGTAGTCATGAAATCATAAACCTCTCTATTTTACTTTTGGAGACTAGGCCTTGTTTAGTGCTGAGTGGCTTGACTTTAGCCTCCTGAGTACAGATGTTATGGTGTGCGACCTCAGGGCCCTCCTTCATTCCTCATGATGACCATTTGTGTCTTTGGTCTGTATCCGTGGTCAATCTGACCAGAGCTTTATCAATTTTGTTGTTTTCAGGTTACTGGCTTTTGTGTTCGCTGGTATCCATTCCCCATTCTCTTTTCAAGTTCCTTGATGTCTGCTTCTTTCTGTAATCTCCAAGCTTTGCGTTCTGTTGCTGTGGTTTAAATTTAGATTTATTTATTTTTGTTGTTTTTATTTATTTTATTTATTTTCATTTGAGGATTATATGCCTGCATGTAGGTAAGTGCACCAGTGTAGTACAACGCCTGTGGAGGTTAGAAGAGGGCATTGGATACCATGGAACTGGAGTTACAGTTAGCTGCTGTGTGGGTACTAGGATTCGAACCCAGGTCTTCTGCAAGAGCAGCCAGTGCTCTTTTTCATATAATTGAATTTTTGTGTATTTCATACATAAAATCATCTTTATACCCCCTTCCCCTTTGGTACCCTCCCATAGCTCCCCAACTGGCGTTCAAACATTCTGTCATTTGTTTTAAGGCCTATTATGTAAAATTAGTGTCCTGATCTGTCCCTCAGTGCAAGTTCATCCACTGGGGCTTAATCAGCCTATCTAGAGTCTCTCTCTTCAGGAAGATCTGCTCTTCCTCACCCAGCAGTAATCAGCGCCAACAATTCTTTGACTAAGATTGGGGCTTGCTATTCCACAGTTCTGTGCTAGGTTTTTGTTTGCCTAAGTATGCATGGGTCTTGTGCATGCTGACACCATTGCTGTAGGTTTGTATGAGAGGGGTCCCAGGTGCCTGTAGGACTATTTTCGTATGGTCATGCACCTCCTCCCTGGCTCTTACACTCTTTCCACCCCTTCTTCTGCAATGGTCCCTGAGCCCTGGGTGGGTGGACCTCAATAAAAGAGACCTGTCCAAGGATCCACACTCTGCCGACTCTTATTCTCTGCATTTTGGCCATTTGTCGCCTTTTGTGTTCCTGGCCCTTTGTTGCATCAGGGAGCTTCATTGATGAGAATTGAAAGATGCATTAGTGTTCTCTTCATCCCTTGTTCTGTGTTCCATGAGTCTTAGATGTAGAGGTTGCAAGCCTAGATATCCCTAGGCTTGGGCAATTCACAGAGAATCTCTGTGTGTGACCAGTGTAACTCTGTAATATACTGTTCTTTGAAAAAGAAGCAACTTTGATGGGTGGTGACTGAGATAACTGTAAGTTTAAGGATTCATATTTTGCACATAGTAAGAAATTACATTTGTCTAGGGATATGAGAGCCTTGGGTTTTCTCTAAGATCTATGACCTCTCCCGCTATGTATATTTGGCTAGATTTACAGTACCACACATGAGTTTCTTCCCATTGAGTAGGCTTTTAAGTCCAATTAGGTAGCTGTTGATTACCCCATGATAAAAGTGCTGTTGCTGCATCAATGTTGTTTGCTGTCCTGGTCATTGACGTGGCTTTTAGGCCTTGAAGCTAGAATTGGACCATCAATTGATGTACAGCTTGGGTAGTGCTCTCTAAAGGTATGAGAGTTAGCCTTCAGGGGGAGCAGCCAGTGTTCTTAACCACTGGGCAATCTCTCCAACTCCAAACTTTGGTTTTAATTTGGCCATCTCTTTCTAGATTCTTTTTGAGACAGGGTCTCACTATGTAGTCCTCACAGGTGTGGAACTCAGAGACCCACCTGCCTCTGCCTCTCCTGAGTGCTGGGATTAAGGCAGTCACACTCAGCTCTTTCAAGAGTCTTAAGATACAAATTGAGATCATTGATTTGATATTTTGTTTCTAATGTAAGCATTTACTGCTATATGAACAGTTTCCTTAAGCTGTTTTGACTGCATCATAGACTTTTGGGGGAGGGGTTTGAAACAGTGTCTCCCTGTTCGTTCAGCTGGCCTGGAACTTGACCAGGCTAGCCTCTTCTCACAGAGATAGGTCTGCCTCTGCCTCCCAAGTGCTGGGATTAAAGGCATGGGCCACCATATTCCATCATCATAAACATTTTAATATGTTGTATTTCTGAGTTTATTCGGTTAAAAACTGTTTGCTATTTTCCCTTTGTATTTCCTCTTTTTCCCAAGATTATTTAGAAATGTGAAATATGTTTAATTTCCTAATATTTGGGAATTTTTCTTTTTCTTTGTTTTGTTTTGTTTACCTTGAGACAAGGTCTTCTGTGTAGCCCAGGCTAGCTTTGAATTCGCTATATAACTCAGGCTGGCTTTAAACTCTTGATCCCTTGCTTCATTATCTTTCAGTTAAGGATTTCTAGTCTATTCCATTATGATCAGAGAATACTGTTTAGTATGATTTTAGGGTTTTGTTTTTGTTTTTGAGACAAGGTCTCCCTGTAGCTCCACCTGACCTGGAATTCACTATGTAGACTAGGCTGACTTTGAATTTACAGAGATCTGCCTGCTTTTGCTTCCCAAGCGCTGGGACTAATGGTGTGCGTCACCATGCCTGGCTTGATTTTAGTTTGTTTTTTTTTAATAGTTTAAGATTTACTTTGTTGCATAGAATATATTTTTATCTTGTAAGTGATATACATTTTCTTGGGGGAAAAAGTGTAGTCTGCTGGCTCACATTGTTTATAGTTAACTGAATGTAGCTAAATATTTTGGAGCAGAAAGGGAAAGTCAGTTGAATTTTTAAGATAAAAAGTTATTTCTGGGGACTGGGGAGATAGCTCAGTCAGTAAAGGACTTGCGAGGACCGAGTTTAAGTCCTCGGAACCCACATTAAAATCTAGGTACTCCTATAATTCCTAGCATGGAGAAGCAGAGACAGGAGGGTCCTTGGGGCTCGCTGGGCAGCCAGTCCAGCTTAGTTGGGAAGCTTCAAGTTCATTGAGAGACCTTGTCTCAAAAAATAAAGTAGAGGGGGTGGTAAGATAGTACAGTGGGTAGAGTGCCTGCCCTCTGTACTATCACCCTGTGTAGTTATGCAAGCCTGAGTCCTTGTCAAGTTTTAACACAACATAGTGTTTCCAGCAGGGGGTACTTGAAGGTCAGAGAGATACAGACATTCAAAGATAGGCTAAGTATAGAGAATCCTTGAACTTTTATAACAACCCAGAATAACAGTACCTCTTACATTTTTTAAATATTTATTTTGTGTTTATGGCGGGGGGTGGGGGGCTTGCATGTGCCACAGCACACATGTGGAAATCCAAAGACAACTAGCAGGAGTTGTTTTTTTTCCTTTCATCTTGTGGTTTCCAGGAACTCAAACTCGGGTTGTCAGACTTTGCAGCTAAGTACGTTCAATTGCTGAGCCATCTCACTGGCCTTTTCCATCCTTTTTAAGTTTTAGTTTGGGCGGGGGGGTCTGGAACTCAAGGTCTGGTCTGGAACTCACCATGTAGGCCAGACTGGCCTCAGACTCAGAGATCCACACACTTGTCTTTGCCTCCCGACTGCTGGGATTAAGGGTATGCACCACCAGCCTGACTTTCTTTTTGTTTTGGATTTGTTTTTAAGATTTTGTCTTAGTTTTAATTCTATGTGTGTGTGTGTAAATGTGCACGAGTTCAGTTTGCTGCAGAGGCCAGAAGAAGGCATTGGATCCCCTGTGATCCTCCCTGACACTGGAGGTGCTTTTAACCACTGAGCCATCTCCCCAACCCTGGTGTCCTCCCTTTTAAAAAGGTATCTCTGGTGTCTCTAGATACAGAGCAGAGGCTGAGACAAGCCTGGAAGTCCTGGTTGATCTACGTGGTTGTTCGTAGGACCAAACTTCACATGTGGACCAGTGCTCTAGAATTTAGGCAGCGGAGTACCTTACGGTAAGTGTGCTTTGGTGTGCCATAGGCCAGCAGCCATCATTTCTCTTCAGCTTTGTTATGCTGCTTTAACCCATTTTAACACAATGCTTAGAACACAATTGATACCTATAAATACCTATTGATAACACCCACCTATAATATTGAATTTCCACATAATCATGATTAATTCCAATTAAGTGCTATGTTCTAAGCCTATGTTAAGTTTGTGTGTGTAAATTAAAATATTTATTTTTATTTTATTTGTATGTACATTTTGCTTGTATATATGTAAGTTGCAGCTGTGTGTCATGTAATGCCTATGAAGGCCAGAAGAGGGTGGTGGATCCCCAGAAACTGGAGTTAAAAATGGTTTGTTGCGGGGCTGGAGAGATGGCTCAGCAGTTAAGAGCACTGACTGCTCTTGCAGAGGACCCAGGTTCGATTCCCAGCACCCACATGGCAGCTATGAACCGTCCTTAACTCCAGTTCCAGGGGAATCTGAAGCCCTCTTCTGACCTCTGTGGCATTGCACAACACCGGTGCACTCACATACATTCAGGCAATACACTCATACACAAATAAAAATAATAAATAAACAAAATATTAAAGAAAAAGAAGGCAGAAGTGTGCCATCTTCATACTTTTCAATGACCCCGTTTGCTTATTACAGATTTAGTCCCTTACAGGTCAGGGCTTTTGGGCTTTTCCCTTAGCTCACTAGTCTACTTCAATTCCCTGGAATGCTTTCCCTTTCTTTTTAAATAAATTGTTGTTGCATGGGCTGGGCATGGTGGCACTTGGGAAGCAGAGGCAGGTGGATCTCTGTGAGTTCAAGGCCTGCCTGGTCTACATAGTGAGTTCCAGGACAACTGGGGCTACAGGGAGACCCTGTCTCAAAAGACCGAAAAAAAAAAATTGTTGTTGCAGAAGTTGGTTCTTTCTCAGGTTATCAGGCTTAGCAGACCCATCATGAGCTGTGGAGCCATCTTTCCTGCCCTGGGACTGCTTCTTAAGTGCTGGTTTTCTTTGCAGCATGGATCTAGCCATGTGTGTAGAGATGGCACTGGGAGGGAAAGGACTTGTGCTGAGGGTCAGAGGCACAGCCCTAATGGTTCTTCTCCTTTCTGGTGTTTTTTTTTCCCAACTCCATCTTTGATGTGCTTTTTTCAGGTTGTGGTGGAGCAGGTGGAAGAGGCAACTAGAACAGGTCCACATGGAGCACACCTGCCAGGCTATAGCTGCAAAGCACAGAGCCCTGAGTCTCCAGCTGCAGGTTTGTTGGGGCACACTTGGGGTTTGTTGTCCTCAGTCTATGTAGTCAGCAGGAAGCCTTCTTGCTGCTGCCTCTTGTTGGGAAGTCAGCCAGGGGCCTGAGGAGCTGTGTGGGAGAGCAGTGTAGAAGGTGAGGGTCCAGCAGACAAGTGCTGCTGTTAGGAATATGGCCATGCTTGATCTCTCCATAAGATCCTGTGGTTTGTACAGAACCATTGGGTTTACTGAATTAGTTATAAACTATTTAGAGTATGTTCTTATCTCCTTATTATTGTTTTTTTTTTAACAGCAAATTAGAAAATAAGGCAGGTAGAAACCAAGAGTGCAAAGAAAAATTCTGCTTTTTATTTACCAAGTTTTAAATTTTGTCTTTTTCTTTTCTTTTCTTTTTTCTGGTCTTTTTGAGAAAGGGTCTCCCTGTAGCCCCAGCTGGCCTAGAACTCCCTATGTAGACCAGGCTGGCCTTTAACTCACAGAGATCCACCTGCCTCTGCCTCCCGAGTGCTGGGACTAAAGGCATGTGCTGCCATGCCCAGCAAATTTTTTCATTTTTTAAAAAAAATATTTTTTATTTGTTATTTTTTATTTCATGTGTCTGAGTGTATTGCCTGCATATATGTAAGTGCACCCATGTTATACAATGCCCATGGAGGTCAGAAGAGGGCATCAGATCCCCTGGAACTGGAGTTCTGGATTATTATTAGCCGTCATGTGGGTGCTGGGAACTGAATCCGGGTCCTCTGCAAGAGCTGCTAGTACTCTTAACCACTGAGCCATCTCTCCAGTCCCTGTTATTTTTTCCTTTTTGAGAGAGGGTCTCATGTAACCCAAGCTGACCTAAAACTTGCTGTGTAGTGGAGGGTGACCTTGAGTTTGTGATCCTCCTGCTTCTTCCTTCTAAGTTGCTGGGCCTCCATGCCCAGTGAAGGAAACTCACTACTTTGTACAATGAACGTATTAATTGAAAAACAACAACATGGGGCTGGAAAGATGGCCTATCAGTTGAGTGTTTGCTGCTCTTGCAAAGGACCCATGTTCAATTCCTAGCACCCACATCAGGCAGCTCACACCTGCTCCAGCTTCAAGGGACCTGATGCCTTCTTCTGGCCTCTGTGGGCACTGCACACATGTGTCACACACAAAAGTTAAAATAAAAAAGATACCTTAAGGAGACAGTCAAATCTAACATAACTTTTTGTTTCTGTTTTTTTTTTTCGAGACAGGGTCTCCCTGTAGCTCCAGCTGGCCTAGAACTTAACTACATAGACCAGGCTGGCCTTGAACTCATAGATATCTAACTGGCTCTGCCTCTCAAGTGCTGGAATTAAAGGTGTGGGCCACCACTGTTAATGTAACATTTTGTATGATAAATAACTTTGTTTCTGTAGTAGATTAGTAGCACGAAAGAATAAGGTCAAGGAGGGAAACTGCCACATATAAAAGAGAGATTTTAAGTGACATGACAACGAAAGCAAAACAAAAAGGACTACAGTGGCTGTTGACTTAGGACTAGACCAGAGAAGATCAAAGATTTAAAAAGCAGGGAGAAGGCTGAGGTGTGTCTCAGCAGTAGAGCCCTTGTTTAGCATGCACGGGGCCCTGAGTTCAACCTCTAACACCACAAAACAATTTTTAAGAGCTGTTAGAAAATTCCAGGTGAGAGGCTTGAGAGATAGCTCAGTGATTAAGAACATGTACTGCTCTTGGGAGGACCCAGGTTTGGCTCCCAGCATCATATTGGGCAGTCACAACTTCCTGTAAGTCCAGCTCCAGTGTAGGGGGCACTCTGATCAGTCAATGGCTTTTTATCTAGGAGGAAGTTTATTTGTGTTAGCACCTAGCCTGGTGGGCTTGTACCCAAAAGACCAAGGCCTTGAACAAAGAAAAGCTTAACCTTTTATACCCCATGTACAGTTCAGTTTCCATACTTTTCTGATTGGGTGTTTCAAGTCACAGAGTTGTGACAGGCAGAACTCAGGCACTCTTTGTTCTGGGGTATGTGGGGGGTGTTCCTGACGTATTCCCCCCCTTTGATGCTCTAATTCTCCGTAGGGTCCTTGGTTCGGGAGTTGTGAATGAGAAAACAAAAACTATAATTTGACAAATTACAAGTGAAATATTATGAAACAAAATTAAGATCATATATTAGTTCTATAACAGAAGAAAAGACAAATATATAGTTTTAAAATGTTTTTGATACAAGAGATTTTACAGGCCAAGCATGGTGGCACACCTTTAATCCCAGCACTCGGGAGGCAGAAGCAGGTGGATCTCTGTGAGTTCAAGGCAAGCCTGGTCTACATAGTGAGTTCCAGGCCAGCTGGGGCTACAGAGAGACCCTGTCTCAAAAAGACCGAAAAAAAAAAAAAAAAAAAAAAAAAAAAAAAGAAACAGAAAATCCCAGGTAAGATTTTGAACAGGTAACAGAAAAATGCTGGTGGATTCTGGATGTTTTGAAGGTGACTAACAGATGGAATTTACTAATGGAGAGATGAAATGTGACTTCAGAGAAGGAATTCCAAGATGGCTCTTGGCTTTGGCCGAAGCAGCTGGAACAGTGGAATTGCCATTTACTGAAATGGGGACTACTGAAGGGGAAGCAGCCTTGTGGGAAAGGATGAGGGGTTGCACTCTGCTCTTTCAGATACTCACCTGATACCCTCCACAGAGAGGTGTCGATACTAAGGAAGCAGTGGGACCGTGGAACCAGTCTGGAGTACTGAGGAGGGGTCCAGGCAGATGTTCATTCCATTAGGAGTCCTTGTAGGAAGATGGCATTTAAGGCCAAACTAAGTGAGTGAGTGAGTGAATGAATGAATGAATGAATGAATGAATGAATGAATGAGTGAGTGAATGAAGTGAGCGGAACAACAGGAAAGGTTCTAGAATAGGGCTTGTGAGGTCAGCAGCAGGTGTCCTCAGTTATCCTGTAGAGCAGCAAATAAGGCGTGATCTGCCATGTCACTGCACCTGGCAGATCAAGCAGGTGATGACAAACTTGACCTTTGGGCTGAGCCACGTGGAGATGGTTAATAGACTTGATCAGTATTTGAGATTGACCACAGGAGTGGTCTAGGAAAGCCTGCTGAGAAGAGAAGTTACAAACTTCCTTTCTTGAGGAGCTTGGAAAGGAAAGAAACAGTATTGACCAGATAGTGAAGTGTGATGTACAGTGAACCTTTGCTTTATTTGAAAGTCATTTCTGCAAATGCCAGATACAGAAAAAGTGAGTAATATACGCACCTCCTCCTGTTTAACTCATTGTCAGTGTTTTGACACATGTAAATATACTTACTTATTTAGTCTTATTATTCAGGGTCTATTATGTAAACCATACTGGCCTCAACTCCTGATGCTCCTGCTTCTACTTCTTGAGTGTTGGGGTTACATGTGTGTGTCACCATGCCTGGCATGTTCTTATATTTTTTTTCTAAACCACTTGAAAATGGTGGACATAAAGTTCACCCTAAATTTATTTTAGTTTGTATCTTTAAAAAACAGCATTCTCAAAACAAAAACAAAAACAAAAACAAAAAACAACCACCCCCCCCCCGCATTCTCCCATCGCTTCTTGGCCTTTTGGCTAAGATCAAGTGTAGTATCTGTTCTTATCAGTTTAATATCCGATATGTCCTCTATCTGAGAACAATATATTAAATGGATTTTTTGGAACTAGGAATTGGAATAGGAGCTTGCTATGTCCACTCCACATGTCAACCTGATATTGAAGTACCTCCAGGAACGGTGCGTACACACACAAACACACACACACACACACACAATAGCATTCTTTTACATAGCCACTGTATCCTTATATTCAGTGCATTTAAGGTTTAGTATGTAACTTATCCTTTATATTAAAACCGTACATTAGACTGGCCAGAGCTACATAGTGAGACCCTGTCTCAAAGAAAAGAAAAGAATAAAACCATACAGTGTTGCTGTTTTTGTGTATGGTCTAGAACCTAATAAAAAGTAACCTGCTTTTGATTGTCACATCATGAAGGGACCTTATTTATTTAGGATGAGAGTAAAATAGTTCATTTGTCCACTGGTTTTTCAAACTTAGTAGAACATGCAAACTGAGGATGCAGAAGAGTTGCCAGTTGCCAGTGATACACTGGTGAAGGCAAGAGAAGATGGGGTGTAGCCATGCAGGGGCAGCCTTTGACAGTAGCAGGCATGGGGGTACCTGTGAAGGCTCATGAAATCCTCTCGGCTGCCTTCTTTACTTTCTTTTTTAAAGACGTTAGTTTTCTTTCTTTCCTTTTCTTGTTTTTTTTCCGTTATATAACCTGGCTTGCCTGAACTCCCTCTGTAGAGCAGGCTGGCCTTAATCTCACGGAGCTCCACCTGTGTCTGCCTCCCGAATGGTGGAGTGGTGCTGGGATTAAAGGTGTGCACCACCATGCCCAGCTTTATTTTTTTTTATGTGTCTGTGTCTGTGTCTGTGTGTGTATATGCACATGTGTGCTAGTGCCCCTGAAGGCCAGCAGGGGGTGTTGGATCTCCTGGAACTGGATTTATAGGTGGTTGTAAACTGCCCAACCTGGGAACCAAACTTGAATCCTCTCAAGAGCAGTACTCTGAAATGTGGAGCCATCTCTCCAGCCCCCTGCCTTATTTTGTTGATGAAATAGGAAGAATGTATTCACCTGAGAGGAAGGGGAAAGGTGCTGGTACAGATTTAGGAAAAGGAGATTTGAAACTTCAAAGTAGGGCATGCATTATCTCTGTACATACATGACGCCGTCTCCTGCACACATTTGTGAATAATTTAAAGGGGGGGGTCCTCTTGTAGATGCTCACCTATTATAGGCATGCTCCCTTGAAATGTGCCTGAGAAAGGCCTCTTAAAGGCATCCCCACTTTCAAAGACAAGACAGACCTGCATCCATCCTACATGTGAGTTTATTATATCAGCCCTCAGATTGGCACTGCTTCTTCTCTGTTCATTGGTTTTATTATTCCTTTAAGACCAAAATTATATCATCAGTGCTAAACAGATTCATGGGACTGTCATAGAAATTTAAAATAGAATAGATGCTGGCATCAATGGTCAGTATTTTCATCATCTGAATTTTCTTCCAAGATTCCTTAGCATACATAGGTCTTTGGTTTTTCCCTTAATCTTTTGGAACGATTTCATGTCTTCCTTCAGTTAATTCTCCAACTCAGCTGAGCTCTAGTTCACAGCTTTATGCTTAACCTCATTGTATAGTATGTAAATTATTTTTTGTAACTTCTCTTTATTTTTGCAACTTCCTCAACTACACCCAGCAGGTCATTTCTTTCATCTGCAGTTTTTGTTTCTGGTGTTTGCAGCTGTCTGGCTTTGCCAATGGCGCCTCCCCAGTAGTGGTAAAGGACACCCAGTGCGCCGCCATACAGAGCTGTGTACCTTCATGCCCACCATCACACCTAACATGTAGCTGCAGGTGAAAGGCCTAAGCATGTGGCGTGTATGAATCTGATGCACATGCCCACTCAGTCTGCAAGGCATTCTAGGGGAATGTTCGAGCCAAAGTTAGCTCGAAAGTTGAAGCCAGCTCTCCTGCTTGTCTGATCATCCACCAACAGACCTGCTACCGCCATTCCACCGTGTTGGTCAACATTAAAAAGTTGTTTGTTGGAGCTTTCTTTATAGTTTCCAATTTTTCTACCCCAAAGACAAACCATCTTTACATTTAACCCCAGATGGTTGTGCTGTGTTCTCTATAGCATGCTCAGCCTTCAGACTCTCCCACCAGGAGATAACATGCAAGCTGGAGATGTGCTGCCACTGGAACTCATGGTGCCCAAACCACTAGCTGCTTAGGATGTCCAGGCCTAAAGTGCCCATCCTCCTACACTGCAGTACCAAGCAGACTAGTCCCCCCAGGCCTACTCCCACTCCCCTCCTTCCCTCTTTCCCTCCTCCCTTCCTCCTGTCCTCATCCTCCCTCCCTCCCCTCCTCCTCTTCCCTTCTTTTTGATACTAGGATTGAACTCAAGGCTTTGAGTGTGCTAGCTCCAGGCTCTTTTTCTGAGTTACAGCTTCCTGTTTTTGTTTTAAGACAGGGTCTCACTCTGCAATAGCCCTGGCTGACTCTGAACTTGAATCAATCTTCCTGCTTCCTGAGTACTGTGATTACAGGTGTGCACCATCGTGTCTAGCTTCCTGTTTGTTTGTTTTTTTTTTAACTCATAAAAACACCTGCCTTCATGATCCTTTCTCCCCAGTCTCACCTAGCCTAGGATCCTGTTGGGGGATTGCACTGCCTCCTGTGAGCTTCCCCATGTGGAGTCTGTTTTCTTCCTCTCACCTCTGCTTCCATTATTGATTTATTTCCTTCCTTCTTTTGGTTTGGTTTCATGCACGGTCTCCTGTAGCCCAAGCAGGCCTCAAGCTCAGAATTCTCAAGGCTGAGAATGACCTTGAATTCCTGTTTCTCTTGCCTCCACATCCTAAGTGCTGGGATGACAGGGCCACCATGCCCTGTTCTCCTGTTCTCCTGTTCTCCTGCCTTCCTCTCGATCATTGGCTTTTCTCCGGTTTTCAGGCTTGGTCACGATGGCAAGAACAACTCCTGTGTAGCCAGCGGGAGAGACGGAAGGCAGTCGCTGCCATGCAACACCATCAGCGCTGGCAGAAGCAGAGCTCTATGAGGGCTTGGCTTCAGTACCTACACATCCGCAGGGTGAAGCGACAGGAGAATGGTGAGTAGGAAGCTCAGGCTCCCAGTCCAAGGTCCAGCCACAGCACCTTCCCCCGCTGCCGGTGGTGCTTTGTGAAGAAGAAATGGACACATTATGCCACAAACTTTTAGAAAAAAAAAAATTTTTTCATCTTTCTGAGACAGGGTCTCCCTGTAGCCCCAGCTGTCCTGGAACTCACTATGTAGACCAGGCTGGCCTTGAACTCACAGAGATCCGCCTGCCTCTGCCTCCCAAGTGCTGGGATTAAAGGCGTGAGCCACCATGCCTGGCTGGATACTATTTTTTTAATTAAAAAGGATAGAGAAAAGTTTTAATGTATCACAAATTCTATGAGAAGTGTGGCACCATGGGATTCTCTTATTACAGTTCAGTTTCCCAACTAGTTTCAGAATTAATAACACCTATGGTCAGTGGTACCTTTTGTATGGAAACTTAATTGCGTTTACACAGAAATGAATGAAACACTGGGCCAGACCCTGGGCTAGACTCTCAGGCTGTTACCTAAACCTCCCCCAGATACTGAGACTGCCAACACTGTCTCTTGGGAGAGTTTCATGTGTTCTTGGAGCACAGTGACAGTGGGCCAACTCTGTTGTTTGTTGCCCTAGGTTGAAAAGTGAAGGCTTTTAGGCCATTTAGCACCATAAGCTGCAAACACTTGCTTCTAGCTACAGCATTTGCATTCCAGGACTCCCTCCTGATGCTGAGGCCTCTGGTCATCAGCCTATCAGCTGATTAGTGTTGTGAGGATACTAGTTGGCTGAAAGCTCAAAAGATCTTTTGCCAGCATGGACCAGGGTGCCTTCAGTCAGTCTCCAGGCTCTATCATGGAAACATGTGGAGAAAGAAGTCAGACAGTTAGGTGTCTTTTAAAGCATGAGTTACTATTGCAGCAGCCAACTAGAAGCCTCGGCCCTTGGGTAGAAATTATTTTATTGTATATTCCTCCCTAAAATCACAGACCTTTTCTTCTTGGAGAGAGAAGTAGCTCGGGATTCCAAATAACCTTCCAGTATCTGAACTTTAAAAAAAAAAATTTCTGTGTATGAATGTTATGCCTGAATATATATAGATGCACCTGTGTTGTGCAGTGCCCATGGAGGACAGAAGAGGGTCATCAGATCCCCTGGATCTGGAGTTTCAGACTGTTGTTAGCTGCCATGTGGGTGGTGGGATTCAAACCTGGGTCTTCTGCAAGAGCAGCCAGTGCTCTTAGTAGCTGAACCATCTCTCCAGCCCTGAACTACTTTTTTTTGAGCCTTGCGTATTAAAAAAACTTTCATAAGGGGGCTGGAGAGATGGCTGCTCTTGCAGAGGGCCTGGGTTCAATTCCCAGCACCCACATGGCGGCTACAAATTGTCCTTAACTCCAGTTCCAGGGGAATCTGAAGCCCTCTTCTGACCTTCTGTCATTGAATGACACAGGTGCACTCACATACATGCAGACAATATACTCATACACATAAAATTAAAAGAAAAAGAAACTTTCATAAGGATTTTTTTTTTTTTTTTTTGAGACTCACTGTATAGCCCAGGCTGGCCTCTGTGATCCTCCTGCCTCTGTCAAGTGCTGGGATTAAAGTCATGGCGTCACCATGCCTGGCTTCCTAAGGATTCTCTATGGGAGCAGCCTTGTTCTAGTTTGCTTTTCTGCTGCTGTGATAAACACCGTGACCAAAAGCAACTTGGAGAAGAAAGGGTCTATTTGACTTAGACTTCCTGATCAGTCTATCACTGAGGGAAGCCAAGACAGAAACTGAAACAGACCATGGAGGACTGCTGCTTACTGGCTTGCTTCTCCTGGCTTGCTCAGTTAGCTTTTTTTCAGGCCTACCTGACTACGATGGCAGTGCCCACAGGATGGTGTAGGCTCTCCTACACCAATCAGCAATCAAGAAAATACATGCCCACATACATGCCCATAGGCCAGTCTGATGAAGGAAATTCCTCAATTGAGGCTCTCTCTTCCCAGGTGACTCTAATTGGTGTCAGATTGACAAAAAACCTTGAACCCCCTGCTTTCTACCAGTAGTAGGTGACCCCCCTGCTGAGTGGAACAGTACCTAAAAGTTAACATCTTTATTGCAGAGATGGCTGCACGATTCCGCCGTGTCTCTGTGCTCCAGATATGCTTCTGTGACTGGCAGTGGGCCTGGGAGTGGAGGAAGAGCTTGTCTGTTCACCAGGCCCTGGTGGAGGAGCTGGCCAAGAGGATGGCCCTGAGGAGGGTCTTTATCCACTGGAAACACTGTATCCTTTACATCCATCCACCAGAACAGCATGAACTGAAACAAATGTCAGAAGGAAGTAATTGCCAATTTCTGAGAGTCTCATCTTTGTTGACTGGTTAGTTTTTAAACTTTGTCCAGGTGTGCTGAAGCATATACTTGTAATCCCAGCACTTGGGAGGTGGAGGCAGGAGGATCAGAAATTCAAGACCAGCCTTGGCTATGTAGCAAGTTCCAGGCCAGCCTGGGCTATATGAGACCCTATTTCAAGGGAAACAAATTTAATTTGGGCTGTTCATACCAAAGAGTATTATTATATACATTTACTGTTCGGGAAATAATAATGACATGGATGCCTGTGTCTACTACCCAATTTATAGCTTTGCTGATGCCATCTGCGCCTTCCTGACTGCAATCCTAGCGGGAATTGTACTGTCCTGACTGTCCTGTTCTGTTGTCATTTCATTGCTTTTTCTCTGCTCACTGGGTAGAGTGTTTCTGAGTACTTGGTTACTGAGATCATTGGTCAGGCTTTCACCATGTGCAGTTCTTAAGCACTATCTGCTCAATCTTTTAGCCATCCACGGAACAGGTGGTTCTATCTACAGGTCAGGAGGCAGCTTGAGTCGGGTGAGTCATTTTCTCAGTCCCGATAGGTCATGGGCAGAAGCTGGACCATTACTTTTGTGCATGCATTTTTAATCACGGCTTCCCACCCGGGTCCCGTGTGAGGATTTGGATGCCTTGGATGCTCATCCATACATTCATTTGTCCATTCAAGTCCTGATTCATGTTGAACTTCTGCCTAAATTCTTGTATTTAGAGAAACCCAGAGACTCACACTATTATCTAATGGGGAAAACAGACATGAAAATGGGTCTTGACAGTATGGTATGTTAAGTGCTACAGAAAGATTTGTATCAAGGGCTGGGTGTGAGGGCACATGCCAGCACTTGGAAGGCAGAGATAGGTGGATCTCTGTGAGTTCAAGGCCAGCCTGGTCTACATAGAGTTCCAAGTGTATGTAGTGAAACCCTGTCTCAAAAAAAAAAAAAAAAATTGCCAAGTGTGTTGGTGCATGCCGTTAATCCTAGCACTCAGGAGGCGGAGACAGGCAAATCTCTGTGAGATTGAAGCCAGCCTGGTCTATGTAACTAGTTCCAGGACAACTCGGGGAGACCGGGGAAAAAGACCAAAAAAAAAAAAAAAAAGATGATTTCTGTCAAATCCTGAGAGAGCTACTGTGGAAATTCAGGCAAGGAAGTAACGTTTGAGCTGGATATAAATCTTGGGAGATGAAAGTTCTCCTGGAAGAAAGGTTTGGAGGGCTTTCAGGTGGAAGACAGGGAAAAACAAATACTGAGAATATGTGTGGGTTGTTGCATGTGTCTGGTGGGAGGATCAGTGTGGGCTGGGGACCTCCTGTAGAGCCCTGTGGGTCACACTCAGGGATATGCCCCTTATCCTGATGGCATTGAGGAGCCTCTGGGGGTTTTCATGAGAAACAATGCAGTTAGATTTGTGCTTTTAAAAAGATGATTCTAAGGCCAGTGAGATGGCTCAGGGGGTAAAGGCACTTGCCACCAAGCCTGATGACCTAAATTCAACCCTTGGGACCCTCATGATAGAAGGAAAGAATTGATTCCAAAAGCTGTCCTCTGACCTTTATACATGTGCCCTGTGTGTGTGTGCGTGTGTGTGTGTGTGTGTGTGTGTGTGTGTGAGAGAGAGAGAGAGAGAGAGAGAGAGAGAGAGAGAAAATCCAAGCCACACAAAATAAATAAATGCAATTTAAAAATTTTTTAAAGAAAAAAAACTTCTAAATTAGAGGAGAGAGGCCTAGAGAAACCAGCTGTATAAGAGTTGTGCTTAACAGTCTGTGAGGGACAAATCAGATGAACAGACAGAAGAGAAACAGTTGAAGAGAGGAGGTTCAGGAGCATAGCAGATGGACTTGGCAGCTGAGTACATGAGGAACGTGGGAGGGAAGGAGTCTGAAAATAACTAGGATTTACAGCTCCAGCATCTAACTGGATCATGATACCTAAACAGTGCAGAGAAGAAGCAAGTTCTACTTGATAGACGACAGTTCCAAAATGCTTACAGAAGTGGGTGGCTTGCTATTTCACGTGCTTTTTGTCTCTCCAAAAGGGCATCCAGGGCAGCTTTGAGAGAGCTCCCTTTGCTTCCCTGGTCACCACGAGGAGAAAGAGGTGGCTATCAGCCTGCCTGGTGGGCCTGTTCCACTTACAGTCATGCCCCTTTAGTTCACTGGAAACAAAGGTGTTGTGTGGGTACGGGCACCTTCTTGAGACTGGAGACCTTAACTTCTTGGCAGATATACTGCTTTGTGCAGAAGAAGCTGCCCAGCATGAGGCAGCAGAAGCTCACCACCAGCACAGCCTGATGGTAAGAGTGCCAGGGTCCAGAGCAGCCTTGAAGGAATCTACTCAGGTCCCCTGCCCCATAGCTCATGAGTGCAGCCAGTTCTGGGTGAGCTGTAGTCTGTGTTTGCATTTTGGATGAGAGAAGGTAATGGGTGGTGAGAGAGGGATTTAGAGGTGTAAAGGAACCTTAGAGGTGATCTAATCCTGGGGTTTTTACTCAGTGGACCTCTTTTGAATGAAGGTAGCTTCATATCCAACACAGATCAAAATCATGATCCTGAGCCTGAAGGTCTAGAAAATTGACTCCTGTTCTGTCAGCTGTCCCCACCTCAAAGAGCTGGTCTTCAAAGACCTTTAAGAGCTTCTGTGGTACCCCAGAACACAAAATGAAAAGTCCTCACCCAGTCTAATCTCTTCTCTCTAGATCAGAGGCCTAAGGGCAGTGAGGCAAATGGACTTTGCTTAGGGGGTGTGCATGGGGCTGGTGAAGGGTGGAGTGTGGTCCTCAAGGACTTGTCTTAGTTCTTTTTCTGTTCCTGTGATAAAATACCCTGGCAAAATCAAATTGAGAGGGAAAGCGTTCATTTCAGCTCACAGTTCAAGGTACAGTTCATCATGACAGAAGTAAGGCAGCAGTAACTTGAGACAGCTGGTCACATTGCCCAGCTCCCTTTCTCCACTTAAGCAGTTCAGAATCCCAGCCAGGGAATGGCACCACCAACAGTGGGTGGGTCTCTCACTTCATTTAATGTAATCAAGGTAAATTCCCCAGGTGATTCTGGATTCTGTCAAGTTGACAGTTAACACAAACCATACAGATTCTTCCAAGTTCATTCTTGAAACCTATATTTATAATTATATAAATGTGTGCATTAACCCTTAAATGTATGTAGACCAGTCTGGCCCCAAACTCACAGAGATCCGCCTACATGTGCCTCCTCTGCTGGGACTAAAGGCATGTGCCACCACACCCTACTGGCACTGTTTTTCTTTGTTCAAACATTTCTACAGCCTCTTGATTGCTTATAATCCTGAGTCATTTTGTGCATAGCGTTCCTGCTTTAGAGCCCTAAAAGACAACGTGACCCAGGGCCGTGTCTGGAGAGTAAGAAGGAATCTTGCTCAGCAGCAGCATGATGTCACGGTGAGAGTTATTCTTTGCATCAAGGGTCCCCTTCTGATGGTTGTTTTCATTTGTAACCTTTTTTTTTTTTTTTT